CTGGGTGCTGGTGGAGGGGACGGCAGGGCAAGATGCCTCCTCCTCCCCCCACTCCTGGGAGGAGGTGGCGGCATGGGGGCGAAGTTAGGGTTAGCAAGCTCCTCCATCATTCTTGACAGGTAATTTGCTAGTATTGTATAAAATCTAATTATTTTTATACAGTTCTGTTTGCATATACAAGCAAAAATAAAAGCTTTATTTAAAGGGACACCTATGTTTTGGCTTTGAGATTCATGAAAGGTATGAAAGCCAATGCCCCACTGCAGCAGTCAGCAACCTTTCCAGACCACAAGCCAGGGTGGCTTTGATTTAAATCACATAGACGTAATAAGGATTTAAATATCAATTTAAATCATGGTCAGGAAGCCTCAATTTAATCATTCTTGTTGTTTGATATCCTTTATTCATTTAACTTCTTGAAACGTTGCACTTTTAGAGAAAAGCAAGAGCTTGACTGCATACACAAATGTGCAGACAGACAATAGGGCTGATGGATAGGTAATTAGGTCTGTTCTCTCTCATCTCCATATGCTGCTGTAAACAAGGATCAGAGGCGCACTGATCCATCAGTCCCATATCAGATTGGTGCTGAAATAATGAAAATTGGCAGTATCGGCAATTGGCTCCTTTGGCTGATGTTGCAGATAATGTCGCCAATAAATGCCCCATGCATGTGCTCAGCCACAGCGCAGCAGCGTGGAGAGCAGTGTCTGGCTTGTAAGTCTGTTGTAGCCCCGCTCCCAGCATCGCCCCAAGTGTAGCCCAGCTATTCCAAATATGAAGGACAAATGGAACGAGGTGTGAAGCCCTCTTCTAGCCCTCTCATAAGATTCTTATCTAATATAGGATCTTACATGAGAAGATATACATTAGAAGGCAAATACAAGCTTTATATTTTGCCTTGCAGTAAAATTTTTAAGGCATGCCCAATCTGAACGCCCAGTGTTGAAGAGGTCAGAGGGACCTCCTGCAGCAGAGGACTAATAAGTCATGGAAAGGAAGTTTGCATACAAGGACTTCAAGCTATAATAGCTCAAGACTACCTCCTCAAATGCTCCCACTGAGACATCAGACAGCAGCCAGACAGCACCACAGCTCTAACCAGCCACTTAGTGGTGACAGGGAGGAGATCGCTCCCTACAGATGTTCTATTGCAAAGTTGGATGTGGGTAAAAGGTGGCGCAGCTCACCCCTCACATCTTCTTCCACTGATCTTTCAGGGGTTTTGTTTCTCTTGTGGACTCAAAACCTCCATGAGGCCTCCCACCACATCAGTCATGAGGGCATTCCGGGAGCGCCGTCCTACTCGTCCCATCCTCAGGGCCCCTCGGTTATGGGGCAGTGGCCCCAGGCCCAGCAGGAACAAGCCTGGCAACAGCCGGAGGGACGCCCCTGAGCGAGCAACAGCCGAGTTCCGGGGACAACCACAGACACGCAGGGGGTGGCTCCAAGTACTGACGACGGGGGGCAGGGACATGTCCGGGAAGCCCGCGGCCGCCGCCCAGCGGGACTGCTCGGAACGGCGCAGGAGTGAAGGGAAGGGGAAGCCAGGCCCAGCAGGAACAAGCCTGGCAACAGCCGGAGGGACGCCCCTGAGCGAGCAACAGCCGAGTTCCGGGGACAACCACAGACACGCAGGGGGTGGCTCCAAGTACTGACGACGGGGGGCAGGGACATGTCCGGGAAGCCCGCGGCCGCCGCCCAGCGGGACTGCTCGGAACGGCGCAGGAGTGAAGGGAAGGGGAAGGGGAAAGGGAAGGGGACGGACCCCCACCCCG